TGTTTCTCTTGGGTGGTCATAGCCCTAGTCCACAGAAGCCTACTTGATGTTGCCTTTTTTGAAATCTCTCACTGCGCACATCTAGCAGGTCACTATGTAAGTGGGGATGTCTGGGAACCATCCCTTATCACTAAGTCCGCTGTGAACCCTGCTCAGGCTGGCACACTAGTCACTGCCAAACCTTGCTGCCCTCGCCCACCTAGGGTACCTGGAACACTCTCCTCTGATCCTTGATGTGGTCTCATTTCCTCCCCCTGAAGAGGGGAGGGGGCCTGGCTCCCAGAGTATCTCTAGACCAGGGAGCATGTGGGACCATTGTTTACCTTTAGCCAGGGTCTATTAGATTGCGTTTCCTCATGATCAATCTTAGATGGGTTTGACTTTTTGGTAGTATTGGTTGCATGAATATGAATATAAAATTTCCATTAAAAGGATTTTTTTTTCTTTGAGACAGTCTCACTGTGTCGCTGTTGGTAGAGTGCTGTGGCATCATGGCTCACCAGCAACCTCAAACTCTTAGGCTTAAGCAATTCTCTTGCCTCATCTGGGACTACAGGTGCCCACAACACCTGGCTATTTTTTTGTTGTTGGAGTTGTCATTGTTTAGCAGTCCAGGCTGGGTTTGAACCTGCCAGCCTCGGTGCATGTGGCCGGTGCTGTAACTACTGTGCTACAGGCACCAAGCCCCTCTCCTCCTTTTCTTTTTTTCTTTTTTGTTTTGTGACAGGGATGAGTTTGAACCCGCCACCTCTAGCATATGGGGCAGGGGCCCTACCCTTTTGAGCCACAGGGGGCTGCCCAGCCCTTTTTTTTTAGACAGAGTCACTCTGTTGTCCCAGGCTAGAAAACTATGGCATCATAGCTCACAGAAACCTCAAAGTCCTGGGTTCAGGCAATTCTCCTGCCTCATCCTCCCGAGTAGCTGGGATTATAGGCTCCTGTCATGATACCCAGCCAGTTTTTCTTTTTTCAGTAGAGACAGGCTGTCACCCTCAGTGGAGTACCGTGGTGTCACAGCTTACCGTGGTGTCACACCTCCTGGGCTTAGACAGGCTCTTGCCTCAGCCTCCCAAGTAGCTAGGGCTACAGGCACCTGCCACAATGCTCAGCTATTTTTTGTTGCAGTTTGGCCGAGGCCGGGTTTGAACTATATGGGGCCGGCGCCCTACCCCCTGAGCCACAAGCACCACTCCAGTTTTCAATTTTCAAGATTCCTATAGGCCACTAATGCTTAGGAGACTCCCAGAAGAGAAAGGATACACTCCAGGCCCCAGCCCAAGGCAGGCTGGTTTGGGGTTAGTTATCAGACCTGAGAACCTCATTTTTAACCGATAGCGGGACCAGGCAGTGACAGACATGCTGACTCAGGCGGATCCTGCTGGTTGGGGGTGTCACCAGTGTTTGGCTGAGGCAGGTGATATCTGCTGTCCACTGTGTCTTGCAGGCCGGCCCTCAAATATGTACTTCCAGACCCACGACCAGATTGGCATGATTAGTGCTGGGCCCAGCCATGTGGCTGCAATGAACATACCCATCCCTTTCAACCTGGTCATGCCACCCATGCCACCACCTGGCTACTTTGGACAAGCAAATGGGCCAGCTGCAGGTGAGTGCCCACAGCACTGCTTGAGGAAAACACAGTAACATTGGATCTGTTCATGTCAGGGTTTGTTTGAGCAGTTGGCTTTCCAGCCAAGCCTCAGCCCTGTCACATCTGCTGGGCAAGTGGCCGCTGGAGTCCTGGACTCTTTTTCCCTCCTGGGGCTGCCCTTTGCCTCCTGCTGAGGTCTTGTTTGTGAGGCTCAGATCTCCCTCAGTAGCCCTGGACTACTATCTTTCAGGCCGGGGCACTCCGAAAGGCAAGACTGGGCGTGGGGGACGTCAGAAGAACCGCTTTGGGCTTCCTGGGCCCAGCCAGACCAACCTCCCTAACAGCCAGGCCAGCCAGGATGTGGCATCCCAGCCATTCTCCCAGGGCGCCCTGACACAGGGCTACATCTCCATGAGCCAGCCCTCTCAGATGAGCCAACCTGGCCTCTCCCAGCCGGAGCTGTCCCAGGTGAGCCCCCAGGTCCCACACATAGTTCACAGCACTACTCAGAACTATAAGACTGGAACATTCCATAGATAGTGTGCCCTTCTGAAGCATCCTGGGCAGCTGTGATCTAGTCCATGACCCCCATCAGGGTTACTTCTCCCTGTGTTAGGGTAAGTGGGATGAGTCTCCTGCCATTTAAGCTTAAGGAACGGGTTTTCTCAACTCTTCTTTGGGGGTGGGGTGGTGATGGGCCAGATGGAAGTGAGCACCCTTGGACTGTGCTAATTACCTAACTTTGTCTTTTAGGACAGTTACCTCGGTGATGAGTTTAAGTCACAGATTGACGTGGCGCTCTCACAAGACTCCACATACCAGGGAGAGCGGGCATACCAGCATGGCGGGGTGACGGGGCTATCCCAGTACTAGAAGGCAAGCTGACCCTGAAGCAGGCCTGGGTTTAGCTCCCCCCCTCCAAGAGAAAGGATGGGATCCCGCTGCTGGTGGCGGGGAGTCTTCAGGGAGGGAGGGCAAAAGGGCAAATCTAGATATTCATACTGTGGATATGGGGGAAGTCTTACATCCCAAGTGGTAAGGTTGCTTCTGCTCCGAGCAGCCTCAAGTACATCTCCCAGGGTCATGGCCCTGCTCTTGTGTTCAGATAATTCTAGGCCTTGCCGAGGAAAGGGGTGTGGTGGCTCCACAGCTGCCTGGGTGTGCCCAGCATGGGTCACCTGTGTTCACTGAAGGGATGCTTCAGGGTGCTGGCCAGGCTCCACAGCCTCTTTCCCCTGTCAGTGGTGGGAGGGCAGGCTGGGATTCCCTGCCGTCAACCTGTGTGGCAGGCAGCAAGGGGACCCAGAGGCAGCACTGCTGCAGCTCAGGGTCCTCTGGTCAGTGGTGGCCCTTTGGGGAGGATGCCTGGGAGCCCTGGCCTTGCTGCCTCTCAAGGCCTCCTGCCCTTCTTCCTGACAGGTGGCGGCGGAAGAGCTAAGCTACGTGGCTTAGTCCATCAGCATCTTATTCTGGGTAATAAAAAATAAAAATAAACGGATACCTGTTTTCCACTGCTAAAACTGAAGCACCACTGTGTGAGCAACAGGAGAGGGAGAGGAGCGAGCGAGGGAGAGGAGGAGCCGAGCAGAGCGCGCCCCCTGCTGGCCCGCGGCGGCGGAGGAGCAGAAGGGAGCGGAGGAGGGGCCGGCCCGCCGGGAGCCGCCGCCAGCGAGTCCCTGCCCAGCCCGCCTGGAGGCCCCGCTCGCTGCGTCCAATCGGGGCTGCGGCCAGGGCGGAGGGAGGAAGATCCTCATTTCAGAGTAGCCCTTTCCTCTGTTCTTTACTTTCTTTTTCTCTTTTTATTGAAAGGGGACTACGTTTTAGCAGGAAAAAACTTCGAATTTCTGTGCCCAAGCAGGCTCCTTGCAGGCGGCGCAGCGCCGGGCAGAGCCCCGGAGAATGGCATCTGTCCATGCTGCGAGACCGCCAAGTTGCGCTACTGTGTCCTAAGAGGGTTTTCATTTAAAGAAAATACGGTGTTTTGGGTTTTTCTGTTTGCTTTTCTAAAGATTTTCAAAGGAGTACTGAAAAATACTTTCCTAAGTTTGTCTCTAAAATCTTAGTGGTGGACCTGGGAGATGCCAGAAGCTTCCAGAAACGAAGTTTAAACAAGTCAACACAGCTGGAGATTTAAGATCAACACCTGTGACGTGGTCTCGAGGAGGATTTTTGTTGTAGGTTTTAGCTTCCATGGTTCTCGCTGCAGGGCCACAGATCTGAGGGGCCACCTGGCCGAGCCAGAAGCGGCAGGTTCTCCGCTGGACTCTGAGATGCAGAGCTGCTTCCTGTGGTGGACTCGCGCAGGGCTTTGGCTGCCCATCAGGAAGGTGCTCACAGCCCCACTGGAAGGGGTTTTAGCCAGGACTGGCCTTTAGGCTAGGGAGCCGGTGGCTACTTCCCAGGGTCCTTCCAAGGATTCGGTGGAAGGCAGCAACCAAGAGGGCCTGTTCCGTCCTCAGGAGGCACTGACAGTCCCTGTGGATATGCTGAGCCACCCCACCTTCAAGTTTGGAGCCTCTACCTGCTGTAACAGCACCACTGACCTGGGGTGGTTTCTGTTTTTTTGGGGGGGAGGGGTAGAAGGGAACAAGTCAGAAATAAGTTGGTTCTGTGCTCAAGGGGCTTGGAGGAGTTTGACATTGGCTGGCAGAGGAGACCTCTGCCTGGGTCTGTGTTGCTTTAGTCTCAAGAGCTGCTCCAGGAACTTGCACATCATAGGTTGGGGTGTCCTCCCTGGTGACCTCACTCCCCAGCCTCCCCCTCCCAAAGCCTCCAGATTCCAGCTTCTAAACAGGACAGATGGAGATGCACAGGCCACCTTTTCTTCTGGCAAGGACTCTTATTTATTACCATTGCTGTAGGGCTTTCGGTTTCCCCTTCTTTTAGTAGTCCCTGGAGGCATAGATCTGGGTAGCTTCCCGCTGTGACCCTGTCCGCGGTTGGAATGCTTTGCCTCTGCTCTGTGTCCTTTGCTGTGTTCTCCACCTTCCTAGCAGCACTCTTTGAGTTTTACAAATTGAGGGGCATCTGTACCAAGGTGATGTATCTTTTGATTTTTGGTCAATTTGTTTTAAGCTCTTTTGTCACCAATAAAATAATTACAAACAGTTTTTGCCTTCACGTGGGAACTGAACTGCAGGGCGTGGGGAGGGCTTCATTTGGAGGGTAGCCATGGGTGTGGAGGCTGCTGATCCACCTCTAAGGGCAAAGCCGTGGAAAGCCTGAGCTGCACTTTGGAGGGAAGGGAAGACTACCCCAACCCCTCCACTGTGTGTGCAGTGCATGGGCTTGGAGGGATCCCTAAGGTTCCAGCCATTCTCCCCACCCCCGAGACAAGACAGAGACCAGTGGAGCAGACCACGCGGTGTTTATTGTTGGCTCCACGCCCCTCCCCCCCACACTTGTCCTTTGTCAGCGGCAGCCACACTCGTCCACCACCATATCCTCATAGTGCCGCAGCACCACGTTGTCACTGTTGTCGAAGAAGAGCACGGAGATGGGCGACAGGCGCGCAGGCACGCAACAGGGCAGGCCGGCAGGGCCTGGGGTGGCCGCGTGCATGAGCGCGCGCAGCACAGCGTGATTGAGCACTGGGGGCCCGTCGGGTCCAGACAGCGTGGCGGGCAGTGTGCACTGGCCCTGGCAATAGTTGGCCAAGAAGCCGCGTGGCGCAATGACCCAGCGGTGCCAACCCACTTCACGGAAGCTCACGTAGAGCCGCCGCGCGCGACACGGGCCCCCAGGGCCGCCTCCTGGCGCAGATTGAGCCTCTCGCCGCGGCCGGGCCAGAGAGTGGCACAGGCGCGAGTCGAGGGTCACCAGCAGCAGCGAAGCCTCGGCCAGGCGCGCACAGGCGGTGGGGGCCGGGGGATGCAGCGCCAGCACCAGGCGGAGAGTGCGTGGCACCGAGGCGTTGCGGGCCCACGTGGCGCCCAGCAGCTCGGCGCGGACCGGCGACCCCAGGGCAGGCACTGCCTGGCGGAGCAGCACCAGCCCAGAATCCCCGCCCATGGCCTCACTCAAACGCGCCACGCTAAGCTCCCAGCCGCCCGCCGGAATCTCAGCCGCCGCGAAGCGCAGCTCCAGCCGGGCACTGGTCGGGTTCTCCGTGGGTTCCACAGCTGACAGGTCGAAGACGACAGTCCACTTGGGGCACTGTCCCACGGCCAAGCCGGGCTCCGGGGACCGGGCGAGTGCACCTGGAGAGAGGGGAAGAGGACTTGGCTGGCACCGCATCCTTGCCCGGTGGCCAGCCTGCCCGCAATGCGATGGGGTCCGGGTTGGGTACAGGAGAAAGTTGAGCTCCTGGAGTTGAGGAGCACACAATCGGTTGGAGGACGTCAAATAGTGTGAAGCCCTGGCTTAAGGAGATGGCATTGGGACAGGGTGTGAGTTGGAAAGAAGAGGCCCTGCAGGGTATGGGAGTGGGTGATGGCTGCCCACCCTTGGGGACATAGGCTAGCGCTTGGGCCCGCTGCGAAGCAATGCCGGGGCGGTGGTATCTGCAGGAAGGCATCAAATGGTGTGAAGCAGCGGGAATGGGGTTGGGGGTGGAGTGGGGGCAGGGAATCAGCTACAGGGACCCTGCTGGTGCTAGGCGGCTTGGCGGTGTCCCTGGCGTGCAGAGGACAGGGAAAGAGTGGGGTGCGGAGGCCCAGGTTACTAGCAGGCTGGATGTGGCGGGTACGGGACTCTTGGGGCTACTCCTGCTGCGCTCGAGGCTCACCCCTGGAACTCTCAGCTTTGGGCACAAAAGGCCCCAGCGAAGAACGGACCCACTCACCGCGATCGGTAATGTGGCGCACGATGTTTCCGGCGACCCCCAGCTCCTCCACGTGGCAAGGTTGCAGGGTGGCCTCCGGGTGTGTCCGCCGCAGCCCTGACCAGGTCTCTTGGGGGTCGCGGCGGCGGAACAGGCGCCACATAACCGGGGGAACGGGCCGCAACATGGGAGAACCCCGGGGCACATCGCGAAGCCCGAGGGCCTGGAGCATGGCGGCAGCGGGGCCTGGGGGCACAGGGGCACGGGCTGGGGATGGCGAGGGCAGCAACACGGCCAAAATGAGGAGGAAAAGGTGGCGGCTAGGGTGTCGGCATAGCTGTGGCATCTTTCCCAGATGATGGCGGGAGAGCGCGCAGGTCCGCCGCAGCCCCAGACCAGTGGGGCGGGGCTCCCGGCTGGGCTGGGGTCCTAGGGGGCGTGGCCGCGGTCTGGAGGCTGGGGCTGAAAGGTCTGGCAGGGTCCCAGAGGATGTGGCCCGGAATGGATGTACCCGGGAGCAGCAGAGTTTGTTAGGGCCAGAGTCCCCAGGGGTGGGGCTCAGCCAGGGCCCTGGGGGCGTGGCTGGATCCTTGGGGACAGGGCGGGGTCGAAGGAATCAGAAGCGCTTGTCCTTCACCAGGCCGTTCCTCAGCGGCTTCCTGGGGCCAGAAGTGGCGCGGGTTAGCCACGGAGCGCCCGTGCCTACCCCGACCCGGGTCTTCCCTCTCCTCAGATCTCAACGACCCCCACGTCTCTTTACCCGACCAGCCCCGGGCTCCGCCTCTCTGCTTCCTCCTTGCAATTTACCCTACCCTGCCCACCGGGCCATCGGACCCTTCACGCACCTTGCCACCTTGTTCTTGCTTCCTCCTTCCCATCTAAACTCTTCTCTTCCCCAAATCCCTGCTTCCCTAGGCCTCTGGAGGGCAAAGCTACCCACCAGCCTGGGCTCTACTTAATTCCACCACCTCTGCCAGAACAGACCTGGGCACAGGACAGACACTACAGATCCTCCTCTGCTTTGGGGCAGAGTCCTGCGCCACCTGCCCCATGCAGACTTGTCCTTGGGTCTGGTGACTTTGCCCTACTCTCTCCATCCACTCACTTTCCTTCCGTGTTTTTACAAGTTGCCATGTTTTCAAACTCTAATCATTACATTAAGTGTCCAGCTTAAGATCCCAGAGAAAGACCCCTAACTTCTAAACAAGGCATGTATTTCAAACTGTAAAGCCCACTTATTACTCTTACAACTCATATTTTCCAAAAATGCAGTCGTATTTGAGTTCTCTCTGTGGCCACTGCTGCTGTCAGGAAATCCCATTTTCCCTGCAAGAGTTAGCCACAAAACTCTAGGGGTCTGACTGGGAAAGTAATTCCCTGAGGATCAAGAATCTGTCTAAGGTCTCCCCTGCCAGACATGACAGGAGTCCTGCCCCTGTTCCTTGCAGCCCTTGCCAGTGCTCAGAGTTTTGCACCCTGTTCAACTGAGATGGCATCTCACTTTGGTCTTGATGCCAATGGCCAGGCCTGCTTGCATCTTTGGGAACTGCTCATGCCCTAGCAAATGTTCTTTAAAGCTCGCGGTTCCCCCAAGCTTCTCCTGCAAGTTTCTTGCTTTTGTGTCTTCACATGGCTACAAACCCTGTGTACATTACTATCCCCTTTGCTCTGTGGCTTTGTGGAGTGCTCCATCCCGGCTTCCCTTCCACATAAGAACCTAACACTTTCCTGAGGAGGTTGCCCTCATTCCCTTAGGCTGAAGCTCAGCCTCCTCATGCCTTTTGGAGCCAAGTGGTAACTAATCCTGTGAGCTGTTAGTCTTATCTGTGGGGAGATAAGCCCTGCTCCGACCTCCCATCTGTCACTTGTCTTCTGACTTTGCCTGTGATTCTTTAGAACATGAGCCTTGGTCCTTCATCCACCTTTGCAGCTTCTTGATTCTTCCCATAGTCAAACATTTCTCTCAGTTCCTCAGTGACACCCTCTCCCATTGTGACACATGCTCAGGGATGGTTCCATTTCTGCACTGACACTTTGGTGCACAAGAGATTTGCCCTGAAGACTGAAGTGAAACAAAGACACACTTTCACTTTTTCTCCAGATGGTCCCCAAGTGTCCTGGGGACATCCCGATAGACACTCCCTCCCTTTGGGTGCTCTATATTATTTACTAAAGGTTTCTCAGATGCCTTGTCTCTGCCCCACACTGTTAACTCCTAGAATCGGGTCTTCAAGGAAAGGCACCCCTGCTGGATGTCTTTTCATCAGAGCTTTCCCGCCCATTCTTCATTCATATTTGTTTTTCTGCACAAGCTTCAGAGTTAGCTGTCAGTATTTTCCTTTTGGGGCAGGGAGCAGCCCCACCTTTAATGGGGGTGTTCCTAAGACAGCAGATTGATGCCTTTCAACTTCAGGCCATCACTGTGGCAAAGAGAAGCACAATAAGGTGGAAGCCAGAGAGAGATGAGTGTGCACAAGCAGCTTCTGAATGCTTCTCCAATGACCAGGGGGTGGGGGTCCCTAGGGTTCTGCAAGGTTTTTGCCCTGAGTTGCCAGTGACTACAATAGATGAATGTTCCAGAGAGAGAGTCTAGGGTAGGACTAAGGGTTGGCTATTTTAGAAGGTGCTGGAAATATGAAAATGTCAGGGAGAAAGGGAATGGCATTCAGGGAGAGAAATCTGGAAATTGGTGTGGATTAACTGGGCAGGAAAATGACCCAGGGAGTGGAGGTGGCCAAAATGAGAAGACAGAGAAAATAAGCAAGAATGTACCAGGAAATCGGGCAAAGAAGTGGGGTACAGAGAGCAGACTGGTGGACAGCTCCTTTGAGTGGGGTGTGATGGCTGATAGGTACAGGGTATCTTTGAGGATGATGACATTGTTCTGGAACTGAATAGTGGTGATGGCTGCTTAACTCTGGAAATGTATTAGAAAACCACTGAATTCCACTGTGACTCAGTGAATTTTATAATATGTGAATTATAGCTCAATAAAACTTTTTTTTTTTTAAGAGACAGAGTCTTACTTTATCACCCTTGGTAGAGTGCCGTGGCATCACACAGCTCACAGCAACCTCCTGGGCTTAGGCGATTCTCTTGCCTCAGCCTCCCAAGTAGCTAGGACTACAGGCGCCTGCCACAACGCCCAGCTATTTTTTTTGTTGCAGTTTGACTGGGGATGGGTTTGAACCTGCCACCCTCGGTATATGGGGCCCGCGCCCTACCCACTGAACCACAAGCACTACCCTCAATAAAACGTTTTAAGAAGGGCGGCACCTGTGGCTCAAAGGAGTAGGATGCTGGCCCCATGTGCCGGAGGTGGTGGGTTCAAACCCAGCCCTGGCCAAAAACTGCAAAAAAAAAAAAAAAAAAAAAAAAAACTTTTTAAGAAAAAGAAACCAAGAAGGCCACAGGGGATATAGACAGAAGCTATCTTGGAACTGGTAGGAGGCAATCCCAGGAGCAGGTGTGTGTGAGGAGGATTGAGAAGAATCTAGGACAGCAGTTCTCAACCTGTGGGTCGAGACCCCTTTGTAACAATGAAAATACATCGCAGCATTTGGAAGGTTGAGAACCACCGATCTAGGAGAATCTGGTAGTTGCTATAGGGATGGAGAGAGGATGATGAGGCTGGTAGAGAACAGTAGAGAGAGTGTTTCTATCCTTGGCTGAAATGTCCTTGAGAAGACAAAGATGGACATCCTTGGCCTTGGAGGGAAAGGGGCTGTCCACTGGAGCAAATGGCCAAGGGACATGAGGACTACCCAGGGGGTTTGATTAGGTCAATTTCTAGAAATGTTCCTGTACCTAAAAAGAACATCTGGGCCTGGCACAGTGGCTCCGGCCTGTAATCTCAGCACTTTGAGTGCCCAAGGTGAGAGGATTGCTTGAACCCAAGAGTTTAAGACCAATCTGGGCAACATAATGAGACCCTGTCTCTACAAAAGAATAAGAAAAATTAGCTGGGTATGGTGGTGTATACATGCAATCCTACCCACTCTGGAGGCTGAAGTGGGAAGATTGCTTGAGCCTGTAAGTTCAAGGCTGTAGTGAGCTAAGTAAGCTATGATGATGCCACTGAACTACAGCCTGGGTGACGGAGCAAGACTCCATCTCGAAAAAAACCCCTTTCTTCACCCTGGTTCAGACCTGCTTGCAGAAGGTACATGGATAGTCAGTTATTTTCTGTAGTCACTCAGGGGGGTGAGGTTGCATCATTTGGAATATTCATGTTAAGAATTACAACTATATACAAAGTTATGATTTAATAAAAAATAATAATTAAAAAAAGAGTTACAACTGTGGCTGGGCACAGTGGGTCATGCCTATGTTCCTAGCACTCTGGGAGGATGAAGTGGGTGGATTGCTTGAGCTCAGGAGTTTGAGACCAGCTTGAGCAAGAGTAAGACCCCATCTCTACTAAAATAGAAAAACCTGGCTCAGCGCCTGTGGCTCAAGTGGCTAAGGCACCAGCCATATATACCAAAGGTGGCGGGTTCGAATCCAGCCCGGGCCTGCCAAACAACAATGATGGCTGCAACCAAAAAATGGCCAGATGTTGTGGTAGGCACCTGTGGTCCCAGCTACTTGGGAGGCTAAGGCAGGAGACTCGCTTGAGCCCAGGAGTTGGAGGGTGCTGTAAGCTGTGATGCCATGGCACTCTACCCAGGCGGACAACTTGAGGCTCCTGTCTCAAAAAAAAAAAGAAAGAAAGAAAAACCTAGCTGGGTGTAGTAGTACAGGCCTGTAGTCCCAGCTACTCAAGGGGCTGAGGCAAGAGAACCTCTTGAGACCAAGAGTTTGAGGTTGCTGTGAGCTACGAAGATACACCACTCTACCCAGGGTGACAAAGTGAGACTCTGTCTCAAAATGACAACAACAACAACAAAAAAACCCCTGAACTTTTCTTCTTGACCTTTTGCTGGCAACCTTTATGTACTTATGTGTGCTGAAGTTGAGGTCTTTTAACCAGCATAGAGATGAATTATTTTACAAAAGCAATCTCATAACAGTCATGATTATTCCATGTATGTTTATTTTGATGTCTAATATTTGGGATTCTTGGTACACTCTTATTTTGCATTATTTATCTTGCTTTTTCTAACTTTTCCTCCTCTCTTGCCTTTTATGTTGTCATATCTGTTTTTTATTCTATTCTTCCCTCTGTACCCTAAAAGTGCGAATATTTATCCTTAATCTCTACCCTCCTTTTTTTTTTTGAGACAGAGTCTGATTTTGTCACCCTTGGTAGAGTGCCCTGGTGTCATAGCTCACAGCAACCTCAAACTCTTGGGCTCAAGTGATTCTCTT